TGCCAAAAGCAAGAGACGCCATCCGTGTCAAAAAAAGATACCTTATATGAACCTCGACTTCAAAGGTGACCTACTCAGTGATGTCTTTAGGAGGAGAATTTCCACTTCTTTAATAAGAACTTTTTTGTAGCAACATTGAGAGTAGTGTTCTCCAGTCACCTGCTGATCTGCAGAACCTCAGAGAACAAGATCTCGCACCTGACCACTATTATATGTATATATCAGTTCACCTGTTACTGTGAAGCCAGCCAGGTATATCCGTCGTTCGACGCGCAACCTACCTGGCTGCAGAAAGCAAGTAGTAGCCGTATAAAGAGTGCAATAATCGAACATCTCGTCACCACTGGTCATTCCATCTCAGCAAATGCCTCCTCCTTCAAAGTAATCTACCAAGTGATGAACACCTCGTCCTCTTTGGATTTTAAAAGTCCTAGCCATTCAGTTAGTTGGAAGAACCAGAACTATGCATACAAAAGAAAATTATTCAACCACTTCTACTATCATGGTAACAACTCTGTTGATTTGACTTAACTTTTGCTTGTATGCTTATTTTTCTAACTACTTAAAACTCCTGGTAATTTCGTAATTGTTATTACGTAACTCTTCTTTAATAAGTGTTTGTGACAACTCATCACTTTTGTTACTACCCTCTTATATCAACATCCAACTCATCTGAACTTACTAAGTGTATTTTCGTTTAACAAATTTAATGTACACACACACACATACAAAACAACCATATGTATATTTGTGACTGTACAGCTATGAAAATGAATTCACCGCCGAAAAGAGACTCTTCACTGAACTACTGGTCTTCTGTCATATTAAAAAGCAAAACAAAAGCTAAAAGGATCCCCATTTCAACTCATCATATCTGCATAAAGTAACTTACTTTGGTGCTGAACTTCTAGATCCCGATAGCAATGTACCATGAGGAGATGACTGATATTTTTTCATTGCTGAGACTGTTTTTGGTGTTGTTGTTGTTGTCGATGTTGTCGTTGGCTTTCTCTGTTTATAATGAAATTCCATTTGTATTAAATCTCCAATTTGTTTATTTAAATCCCATATATCATCCATAATGTTTTGTTGAATTGATAGATTTTCAGCAGATCGTGATATTGAATCTGGATCACTTGAAGCTGCTGTTAACATGGGTGAATGTTTTTGATGTGCTGCAGTGTTACGCTTACGATGTATTGATGAGCTTGATGTTGATGGAGGTGTAATTGAGCCTACATAATAATAAATAATAATAATAGTAATAAAGGTATATATTTATGTCAAAACTAGAAAAACAAATGCAAAGTATGCTAGGAGGATTTTGTGTTATATAAACGTCGTGATGTGGATGATACTGACTGACTGACTAATTGGTTTCATCGTAGAAATTCGCACCGATGTGCAGCACTTATAGTCGCCACATTCTTCTTCCATGTAGCATACACAGAGCAGGAGAAGAAAGTAAAAAGAAAAATGCAAAAATATGGGGTGAAAAGAATAGTAATATCGACAAACAATACTGTTTTTTGGGTACTATAAGTCACAAGGAGTGGATGCATCTGCACCAGCCATCACCGAGAACAATGGGTTTTAAGCCAGACATATCACTAATTGTCTCCAACATTCAGTGGTTTCTACCGTCTCGAGGATTGCAACCACGAAGCCTACACCTTCCTACACGACTGGTTAGCTGGCTTATATTAACTGTTGTGGATTTCACTGACTGATGAAGCCATTCTGTTGGTCTGATCACCACTGGCTAACTATTTTGCGACCTGACCATATGCCAGTGGCTAACATTTCCGTTGTCAAGGAAGGTGATGGCTAGGGACGCATGGGTAACACCTATCCTAACTATCTCAATCTATGTAACTTCACTGTCTCGTCGATTTACTTCCCTTCTTACATAGCACTCAACCGACGTCTAACCTCAATATTGTTCAACTTATTATACCGCTTTACTCGAGAGATGGAACACAGACACCTATGCACAAAAACAGATAGCCAGCCTTTCCATGTCTTCCACTCTCAATGGCCAGGTCTTACAGCCAGCCATACAGGAGGACGGAGCGGACTGCTGAGCAGTACGCACGCCTTTTGGTCGATAGCAGGATATTACATCTGTTAGGCCAGGGATGGTGTAAACTGGAATATGTGAAACGAGCCTACTGTATCTGTGCACAGATTTCTTCAGCGATCAACCCATTGGCGTCGGCTGATGCAAATTTCCAAATAAGTGAAGTGGTCAACACACGATCACTTCACTCCTTATTTCTAAGTTAGGAGTCAATGTAGTCCAGTCCTGTATCCTGGTCATCTTGCATTCGGAGGGAGCGAATCGCACGCCAAGCATTCAGAGACGCCTGCTCAAGGTATTCAGAAGACTACATTTTGTTAGCGTCTTCACCTACAAAGGAGGGCTATATCATGTGCATATTTTAAGTCAAGGAGATTATCCTCTGGTGGTAACAAATCAATCCCTGAGTCACTGAAGTCAGTTAGGGTTGAGTCCATTAGTACATTTATGATGAGATTGAATAGAAATGAGTATAATGGATGATACACTCATTATTAGTATTAATAGTAGGTCTCTTGAAAAATTTATTACCCTGTTTAATCATATTCATCCAAATAACCGAGTGACTCCCAAATTTGAATCGAATGACAAACTTGGTTTCTTGAATATTTCAATGACTAGGAGAGAAGATGGAACGGTTCAACGATCTATTTTTCATAAACAGACATGGAGTGAATAATATCTTCATTTTTACCAGTTTTGTTCCTCTCCAGTATAAAAGTTCCCTAGTGAAATGTTTGTTCTCAAGGGCTCGAAAAATGGATGAGTTTCGACATATACATTCAGTTTTATTAACTACTGGTTATCCAGAAAACTTCATCAATTGTCACGGTAAGGATAGACCACATCTTGAAAAGACAGCTTCTGTACTAAAGAAAGCCATCTTTATTAATCTACCATTCAAGGGCGACCAGATTATGCAGTTGACAGCTCAAAGACTTCGGTCAGCCAACAGAAGCACATTCTACGTCGCACCTCTTTCCCTCACATGCCGAACATTTTCGATCCCTGTGCCTACGATTAAAGGACGAAATTCTGTGGACTCTAATTCAAACTGTATCTACACAAGTTCATCTGCAGTTGCGGTGACACCTATATAGGTAGAATCAATAGAATGTTCCAATGTCGTCGAAAATGACATGTTCCAAAATGGTTATTTAGACACAATTAATTTGAATAGAAATCCATCATCATCCACCGCAAAGCACTTATTCATGTCAGGTCACAAAATCAATATTAATGACTGTTTCACAATTATTTCACATAAATCTAATTCAAGGCTGGTTATTGAAGGTGATGGAGGCACTTTGGATTAATCACATACAGCCTAAACTGTATGTACAAAAAGCAATAGACTTCTATGTCCAAACCAAGTTCACTTTTAACGGTTTGAAAAAATTTGGGCATTGGTTATATGATATATATATATATGCTGAGATTTTGTAAATTCTGGTTTAATAATACTTTGGTGAAGTTATTAGCATTAAATAGCGAAACGTCAGTAAAAACAATATCGTTTTGTTTTTTATTCACTGGGAAATACAAAAACCTTTATTATAATGGAGCCTACAATCTTCGCCTACCATGGACAGCATGACCTATTTAAATATGATTATTCAATAGTATGTACCTTTGTTTTTTATTTAACTGAGCAATTGTCATGAACTTTATTTTATCATTGTTAACCATGTTAGTTGTAAAGCGGTTGTAAAAAAGCGACGAAATGATGATATCATCTCGTGAAATTTGTCTTCTAAATGCCTTATTCAAATAATAAAGGTGTCTTTATTAATAATACTGAACTGAAAACAGTAAATACGATGAGTAATACTAATGCCTATATAATTTTCATTTTAATATGGAAATTTATGGCTCCTATATGTTCAAAAGAATGGATACTGACCAAAGAGTACTCTTTTCGATAAATTCATCATCCTTCCTATTGGGATGAACTCTGCTCCTATATGTTTTTAATTATTGGAGATGTACGTATGTAAGAGGTGAGAGAATCAGTCTTGAGATCTGAAGTAACTCCATGACAATAAGCAGAAATGTGAGGAATAAGATATAGTAACATAGAGTTACAATAGGGTGTTTATGGATATGGCAGGGGGCAGACAGTGAGTGAATTTGCGCTAGCCATCGCTGAGAACAATTTTGAGCCGTATCACCCACTGTCTCCTGGATGGGTGGATTTCGCATATGGATGATTTATGTTTGATGTCACACAAATTCGAAGACTTACAAGCGAAAACCGACAAACTGGTCGAAGAAGCAGCCAGCGAAGACAGGACTCCAGGTAAACATAGAAAAGATGGAGGTTATGAAAATAACCGACCAACCAACAACAACAACAACGGCAACATCCAGCGCCAATCACCATCAACGGGAGGGATTTGAAAGAGGTTAGTCACCTCATTCACTCACTTATCTAGAGAGCATTGACTCAACTACAGGCAGTCGGAACGGACGAGGATGTCAAGTCGAGCGAAAATCGGGAAGGCAGTCGAGAAACACATTCATCAATCAACCTGAAACAACCAATCTGGAAATCTTCGTCACTCAGTCAGCATCAACAACAAAATTCGGCCGGATTTTCAATACAAACATGTCAAGTCAGTCAGTTCTTCTATACGGATCAGAAACTTGGCGGGCGGGTCACAAAGAATATTTCCACCAGTCTGTTGCATGCAGACCTTCATCAAACAACAACTGTCTTCGCTGGATCTATACTGAAGATCAGATGGCCGGGTCGGAAAGAATCACCAACAAGAAACTCTGGCTGTGAACAAACAAAACAAGAACCAATCGCCAACCAACAAATATTCAGGAGAAAGTGGAGATGGATTGGACACTCGCTCACTGAGGAGGCCGCCGCGTGACATCGCGCGCGTGTCAGCCCATTGCTCGAGTGGAACCCGACAGAATGGGAAGCGGCGAGTGGGACGTCAGTGAAAGGGTGACATGGAGGAGATCGTGTGAAGAGGAGTTGAAACAGTATGGACTAACATGGATGGGTGCAGGTGAAAAGTACAGCAGAAGGAAGACAGAAGTGGCAAGTGGAGACGTGCAGTTGAAGCCCTATGTTTTACTAGGAACCATAAAGGAAAAGAAATAATTAATAATAACCATTGTCTCCAGCCTTCATTGATTCTTACTATCCCAAGGACACTAACCAGGCAGTCTATACCTCTCTACGTGGCTCAAATCAGCTTTTAATGATTTTATGGACCGATTTCAAGTTTTTGTTTGACCACTACTAGCTCTTTTCCAGCCTCACCGATCCTATGTCAACTGGCATAGCCCGAACCAGTTGAGGAGTGGTCGACGAGCATTCCATCGCTGAATCATCGCCGTACAGATACATCATACAGAAGAATTTTAAAAAGTTTGAAACCGCAGTATATAATAAAAATTTTCAACCGACTATTTCAACTACAGGCGGAACTGACGAGGATATCAAAGCAAGAGTCAGAAAAGCAAGACAAGCTTTCATTACTCTCAATTCTGTGTGGAGGTCAACAGCACTCAGCATTAAAAATAAGATCCGGATTTTCAACTCCAATGTGAAGCTAGTGCAACCCACTATACGGATCAGAGACTTGGCGCCGCGTCATGAAGAGCATCTCAAACAAACTACAGACCTTCATTAACAACTGTCTTTGCTCAGTACTCAAGATCAGGTGGCCAGAAAAGATCAACAATAAGGATCTGTGGGAGCAAACCAACCAGGAACCAATTTCGCAACAAATAGGCAGGAAGAAATGGAGGTGGATTGGACATATTCTGAGGAAACCATCGAAAGACATGACTAGACAAGCCTTCGAGTGGAACCCGAAAGGGAGGTGGCAAGTTGGTTGTCCAAGGGTGACATGGAGGAGGAGGTCATGTGAAGAGGATGTGAAAGCATGTGAGCAGGCGTGCAGCCAGGTGAAAACTCTAGAAGAGAACTGAACGCAATTGAGACGCTTGGCTGAAGCCCTATGCTCCTCCAGGAATTAAAGGAAATAATAATATAACATAATGATAATTTCAACAATCCATCTCTAAAAATAGGCAAGACGAAAACATGAAAGAAAGATTATTCAATGAAGCCATAACTTACCATGAGGTTGTAATGAAGATCTATACTCATCAATACTAGTAACATCTGATAGAAGACGTGCCAAGATTGGATCTAATTCACGATTTGGATTTCTTCTTGATGCAGATAAAATATCCTCATGTTGAACAGGTATTGAATAGTCTTCAACACCACGATCACCGATGACAACACCACTACTATCACCTGTTTGTGGATAATGTAAAGAATAATTTCTAGATGAACGTGATGATGATCCTGCCAGCGTGATCGATGAAGTGGAGGATGTCTTCAAGGCGACTGGTTTATTCTGTTGATGTTGATAGGATGATTCTTGATGATGACAACTACCACCAGGTGACGATGAAGACAATACTAATACGCCTTGGGTTGATGTGATTGATGAAAGACTTGGTGAAGGCGCAGAACGTGTTGTATTCCCCGAGGATGATGAAGTTTGAGGTTGAACTGACAAGTAAAGTGGTCGATAATCAGCTAGACGTTGTGGTTGTGGTTGCTGTTGTTGGTGGTGTTGTATATGGCTTATATTTTGACCACGGGAATACTGTTGAAGCTGATTCGATCGCGAATAGTTTGGATAACGACCCATAAAACTACCCGTACGAAAATTAATACGACCAAGTGTACCAAAATCTATACAATCATCAGCTAATAGACTAATCTCATTTGATTCACATGTAGGCAACGAATAGAATGCACTGCTTACATTAGTAGTGGTTGTAGTAGTAGTAGTAGAGGTATACGGATGCGATAATGAAGGATCTTTATTTTCACTCACTGGCGCTCGTGTACCAGCAGAGACTGTGGTTATTGTAGTCGCATAAGTCACCATCGAGGCGGTACATTTGGGACAAGTATTTCTATGAATTGATGATGCAACAATAGGCGTACTCAGAGTACACGGTGGAGGAGGACCTAATCGTGTAGACCATTTTGTACAACCAGGTGATAAATCATCACCATCATTCGACGATTGTCGTTCATAATATTTTGTAATACTTTTTATTGATTTCTGATCATATGGCATAGAACTACGACGTAGAGATGTTTCGTCATCAGCAGTAGTCGTTTTGTTAGTATTACTTATCGTCGTAGTATTCGTAGTAGTAGTAGTAGTATGCATTGAATTATCTAACGATTTACTGGTATGTCCACTATTCGATCGTTTTAATCGTGACAGGGTGGTTTTCAGATGTAGACTTGCTGTACGTATTAGAGAGGAGGCAATATCACCGGGATGTGTTTGGTGTTGAGCATGAGCAGACTTTCCTCCGGTACTGTGAAAATTTCCTGTGGTTTTACTTTTTTCAGATATAGCATGATTGAATAAAGCTTTTTGATCAGATTCTGTCAGGTTGGTTGTCGTTGAAGTTGGTGGGGATGTTGACGAGAAAAGGTGACCACGTTTTGATTGATATTGTTTCAGTTGTCTTGGTGTTGTACGCCTGACATCAACGCATTTCGGTTTATTATCAGAGATATTCTATAAGACCAAAAATAAAGTGTTATGAATGTCAGAGTCTAGGAAATTCAATGAAAAAAATAGAATTACAAGTTTGGTCGTTAGCCGACAATTGGACAGGCATCTTTTTTCTTAGTGTTTGTGGTTCCAAATTAGGACACCTTCCAGTTACAAGACGAGTTCGTAGACCATTTAACCTCAGAGACCCGACCCAATAACAGGTGAATTCCAGCTCCTGACAATCCCCTATATGTAGCGCAAAAAACTAGCCAGTGTCATCGGTGAGTGACTGCCTTCTTAAGTGGTTGAGGGACCCAGTAAATCCCAGTAAAACAATAATTGACAATTGACCTAATACACACTAGCGACAAGCTCTATACAGGAAGTTATCTGGAGTTACAGTGAGAAATAGGGACTAATGGTGTCCATCAACTAAGGCAACAGAACAGTTTGTCGCTTACGACATTGACTGGAGAGGAGGTTGCGTTATACACACTGCGAATTGATAGATGTTGGAATTCATGACCTAGCCATTGGATCAGGTCCAATTAGCTGAATGGTTTACGAACTCACCTTGTAATTGGAAAGTCATTGGATGAAACCCAGGTGGATGAGCACCGATAAACAGCCTCTCTAAACTAGGACAAAATAGTTGTTGACTTTCCAATGGTTCTATAACTGATGTCAACTTGTTATCAAACCTGTAGCCAATCAGTTCCCTTCAAACGAACACAAGGATTTTATCTTATCATAGTGTTTCTAATAGAAATGTGCGTCGGTGGCATAGCGGTTAGGACTGTCGCCGACAATGCACATGGTCGGGAGTTCGATCCCCTGCCGACGCACATCTGATTATCAATGGTCGTCTTGCGAAATTTGGGCTACTGAAAATTCCATACTTGTACCAAAAATACGGTGTGGAATCAAGCTATAATAAAAAAAAGATAGGGCCAGTGGAAATACTTCGCTTTATTCATTCGCAACCGTTCTTCATTTTAATGAAATCAATTACCTTTGATGTTATTTTGGTTGATGTTGATTAGCAGTGGAATTCAGAGTATGTGATTGACTGATGAAGCCATGTTTTTGTTTGACCACCACTGACGTTTTTCCAACCTGATCAATCCTATGTCAGTGGCTAACACTGTCGGTTGTCGAGGAAAGCCGATGGCTAGGGATGCATGCGTAACACATGTCTTAACCATCTCAGTTGATGTGACTCCACAGCCCCGTCAGTTAATTTCCCCTCCTTATCTACCACACTCAACGGACGACTAACCTCAAAATTATTCACCCTATTATACCACTTCAAATGGGAGATAGTACGTAGACACCTATGATCAAACACAGTTATCAGGCCTTCCCAAGTCTTCCAGTCTCAATGACCATGTCTCATTGACAGTCATGAAGGAGGATGGTGTGAACTGTTGAGCAGTAAACACGTCCTTTGGTCGACTAAAGTCATGATAATCAAATCTTTTTTTGTTTTGATTATCATAACCCTAGTCTCATGGTTTTTAAGTTCTAATGTCACAAATCCACTGTCTATATTTGCTTTGAGAGACCTACGTAACCTAAAGTCACCTAAATAACAAGTTTTATGATTTATTTCACTCGTTTTACTCTCAAACCTTCGGATATTTTGACTGACAATGGCCAACAGGACATGAATATGTGTAAGGAGTGGTGGAGGGGGGGGGGTCGAATTTTGCTCATATTTCATCTCTTGATCAATGTCGACCATAAAGAGATTTTAATATTTGGTCAGTGGTCACTCATTGCTTCATTTACCCAGAAGAGTGACGGTAAACTAGTTATATCCAATAAGCATGATCTCAAGTTCCGGCAAGATGTTGGAGGGGTGTTGGCTTAGGCACTCGGTTTTCTCTCCTATGTAGATGGTCAAGGGTTCGAGTGCCGACCCCCAAACTACTTCATCCTACGCAAATGGACAGTATGATCAGTCATCACACGATAAGTGAGGCTGTCAGCCGGTGAGTTGAGGTTGAACATAAAACAAACTAAATAGATACACAGTCACTGAGACACCCGCCATGGGATCACTAATATCCCTAATTATTTTAATTGAATTTTAGATTTTCCCATCGATTGATTGGACCGAAGTGCTCAGTGACAGGTTGACATGTCGGTTTCTTGCGCAGATGCTTCGACGATGCCTGAGAATATAATTAGAGGTTAATTCATGGATGGTGGCTAACAGTGGAATCCGAAATGCGCATTTCGTCCTATTTGGGACTCGTCATCTGGATTCCACTGCTAGTCATTATCCACCAATTAACCTCTAATTATATTCCCAGGGATTGTAGGAGCATCTGCAAAAGAAGCGGATATGTCAATCTGAGATCGTGCACTTCGGTCCAATCAAATAATTAATATGACCCGTTACACAAGAGGCAGTGGCTCTCGTGGCCCAAGTGGTCTAGTCGATAACGCTTTGGTGTTTGAAACGATGAGCGTTGGGTTCGAGACTCAGTAGGAACATCATCACTCAATGACTGGGGAATGCAGGTACATCCAGATGACGAGCCTAAAATAGGACGAAATGCGCGTTGTCCTGGATTCCACTGTTAGTCATCATCAACCAATTAAATCCCTAATTATCATTTATTTTATTGCCTTTAAGATTCCAGTGGTTCACAGAGCTTCGAGCTAGAGATTTGAAGTTTCGGTAGCAAAGATGTTTATTTATACAGGGTGATGTTGCTAGCCTCATACCCAACCTTCTCTCTTTACTTGTCTTCTAACTGGCTTAGCAGTAGTGTTGAGGAGTACGTCAACCGGGGATTGAACCCTAGACTACAGGCGTAGTTGGCGAGCATTCTACCGCTAAGTTACAGACACAAAATATTCCCAATATTGGCAGATATATTCATGGATAGGTGGAAAAAACTTAACGATCGGAACGTTCAGCCCCATTCTCCAATGCATGGTAGAGGTATGGTAGATGACATATTCATTGTACTTAAAACACGAAACATTAGTAGGTTTTTGGAACACATCAACTTGAAGGTGGAGGCAATCCAATTCACTTATGAATTAGGAAGTCAGGAATGGGAGCTTCCAACTTCCAGATTGTAATAATATTAATAATAATAATAATATTTTGCTTTATTCAAAAACAGTACTTATGATACAGAATGGAGTTTTCAGCATTTTTACTACAGTATTGCATCCAGTTAGCACATTATCAATAAATAAAATTCTACATAGATTATGGGTTATCTCAGTTAGTTTTGACAACAACATACTGACATGCCGGTAGCAAAGCCAAAATTAAACAGAGTGTTTGAAGGTGTTAGAAAAGTAGATGCTAGCATATTTACTGGTGTAAGCGGTAATAAAAAGGTCGAGATAAATAGAGTGTGAAAGAACGAAGAAGAATGTTTTAAGTAGAGTTCGTAAGGAAGAAAGAAACAAAGCAGCACATAACAGAGAATAAAAGAGAGAGAGAAATGGGAAAAAAAGAAATAAAACGTTGAAATGAGTTGGAAAGACGAGATCCAATTGTTCTACTGACTACTTAATAAGTTATAGGTATCACGCCTAATGCTTTCCTTATCGCACAGAACATGAGCCTAGTAGGGTATGGTTGAGTTCTTGTACTTGCTAGTGCGAGCATATAGTTTTCTATATAGGCTTCTGGTCTGGTCTGGCCTGATGAGATTCAAGGGGAGAGTTGTGAATGAAGAGGGTGGTGTGAGTTAGATAGAATGGATTTAGCTGTAGACAAAATCTACTAATCCATAAGAGGAAAATCGAATCACCTAAAAGTCAAACTTCTCGTCAAAGAATAAATCAATACTAATCCAAGCAGACAAATAAAAGCGACCAATCACATCCAAGGTTACCAGGAGAGATGACCAATAAACTCGTAGAGAAATTTAAAAGCTTACACCAAATTGAAATACAATCTGAAGATATTATCTAGTAAGTAAGACAGCTCAGAGAACATAACTACATCGAAGTTATCCACTTGAGTTACCACATCATTCGCCTTTACTGGCTGGCTAGCTATCTAGCTATTTGTGTTCTAATATTCACGGATTTATAACTACTTATAGTTTGGGATTCATCAGCAGTACGCATACACCGCCAAGGTTCGAACCCAGGACCTCCCAGTTACAAGGCAAGTTCGTACACCGTTCACCCACTGAGACCGGACTCCTCAATGATCGATTGATGAATCCTAACTTCTACTAATTCGTGGTGCATTTAGTGCGACTGGCAACAACCCATATCATCGGCGAGACATCCATCCTCACACACTTGACTTGATGAACCTCACCAGTCACGACTTCTCACTAGAACTCTAGCGAACTCCGTCCTGTATAACCAGTAGTCACTAGTGAGCATCAGATTAATTTTCAGAAGTTGGTTTATAAAATCCTGAGTTCGAAACCTGGCGGGTGGGTGCGTACTGCCTATGATTCCAAAACTACTGGGATGAAACATCCGGTTGTCCAGTACTCCCTGTGTCTGGTTTTCAATGCTTCTCTGAATGATATCAATCCGTGGTTGAAACAACTCTGGAAAACTAACTATAGAGTTGAGAGAGAAGTTATCGAAAACAGTTGTTCTCTGCGATTACATACTACTACCACACACTAGTACATAGCTCAAGTTTTACACACACATATATAACTAACAAACAAAATTACCTGTCTGAAATGAACATTAATTGAATTCGACTTCTCTTTAGCATAGACTGTTGACAATTGTGATTGTTGTTGTTGTTGCTGTTGTTGTTGACTGGTTGTTGTAACACTTGTCTGTGGTAATGTATCCTTCAATTGTTTATTACTATTATTATTATTATTTTTGGTACTATTGTTAGGCATAATAATTATTTCTTGTTTACGCGTGAATATTCCTGAAGATTGTTCAACTGGATGTAATGCCGAAGTTTCATGATTCTTTTGACTGTTGACTTTGTTGAAATAATTCAATGCAGGTGGATTGTTTGCTTTCCGACTGAAAGAAAAGAGGAAAAAATAGTGGTCATGAAATGAATGAAACAAGTCCTGGTTAACACAATACAAGGATATTGGAACAAGACGCATATAAAAGCGAAAAATATTGTTGTTTCCAATTAGATCTTCTTCAGGTTTTACCCTCTAATTTACATAGATTTATATATAAAACAGAATTTAACCAATGACGGTGATTTTGTGGATCAAATAATAATAGTAATAACAAATTGCTTAATCGACGGCTTGATGGGTCAATAAAAAGATCTATTTATAGAAAACCTACCTGAACAGGACAGTATCTTAATTACCACAGTTTCTGCCCTGTTCGGTCCAAAAAAGACTTAGGGAGTGAGGTGCCTCTTCAGTAGAATCCAATGAATATCCACTAAAGACACACTTGATGAAGAAGAAAGAAAGTTGACACAAACTCTGGTTGATAACAATTATCCAGACAAGTTCATCAGGAGATATAAAGTGGCCAGTGGAACACCATGACTCACTCTGTAACTCGTTCCCAAGAAAGACGTGTACATCAAGCTACCCTATATGGGGCATCAAAACAGCTTGATAACTAGACAAAGATTGGACGCTTCTGTTAAAAAGACTTTTTATGCAGCTAATATCATAATAATTGAGAATGTGAAGCATATATATCTATTTAAACGCTTCAAACATTCGAAAAGTAATGTCACATCCCACTGCATTTACCAATTTGAATGTATGTATGGACAGACATACATAGGGAGGACTCATCTATCTCTGCAAGTAACTGCTGGATTCACAGCATATTCCAAAATGGCTCCAGAAACAAATGGAATCTTCAGAACCTATTAATGGTGAGAACAGGAGACTTAGCTCTTCTACTGCGAAACGTATTATAGAGACAGGAGAAAAAATTGACGTTAACACACGTCTTTTAAACCCATGTATAAAATGTGTTTAGGGGAGGGTATCCTAAAGTTTGTGGAAGCCCCTGGTTGGCAATTAGAAAGCTTAAACCACCTCTCTATGCTTTCACATCAACAATTCATCATCACATTAAACCATCCTTAGTAAATTTTGCTTCGATACCAGTCAGGGCAGATGTACTATTACCTCTGTTATTTGGTGTAGTGATCTTCATTGTTATTTTGACCTTCACTGTATCTTTTACGGGTTGATCACGGATTGATATCAGTTAGAGAACCATTGAAAACCAGGGAATACTGGACAGCTGCTGTTTCATCCTAGTTTGGGAATCATCGGCAGTACGCACCCACTGGGATTCGAACCCGGGACCTTCCGGTTACAAGGCAAGCTCGTATACCATTCAGCCACTGGGACCCGATTCAATGGCTCGTGAATTCTAACTTCTACTAATTCGTGATTTAGCGCGACCCCAACCATTGTCGTTGGTGGGACATCCATCCACACACGTGACATCTAATTGGACCTCACTGGTCACGACTTCTCACTAGAACTCAGGAAACTCCAACCTGTAGCAAGTCACTAATCCTTACAAACCAAACTATAGAAAGTTGATCTGATGCTCGCTAGTGACTTGCTACAGGTTGGAGTTTCCTGAGTTCTAGTGAGAAGTCGTGACCAGTGAGGTCCAATTAGATGTCACGTGTGTGGATGGATGTCCCACCAACGACAATGGTTGGGGTCGCGCTAAATCACGAATTAGTAGAAGTTAGAATTCACGAGCCATTGAATCGGGTCCCAGTGGCTGAATGGTATACGAGCTTGCCTTGTAACCGGAAGGTCCCGGGTTCGAATCCCAGTGGGTGCGTACTGCCGATGATTCCCAAACTAGGATGAAACAGCAGCTGTCCAGTATTCCCTGGTTTTCAATGGTTCTCTAACTGATATCAATCCGTGATCAACCCGTAAAACATAACTAATCCTTACAAACCAAACTATAGAAACTTCACTATATCCTTTCAACTTGACCTAAACTTGTCTATTTTCTCACCTCTTAACTCTTTATTAATTTCGTATATACTCATTCCTATGACATGTCCGTGCGTGATCAGATTGTTCGAAATGTGTTGCACAAATAACCCATTACACGAGTCACATAAATTACGTCTTCTTGTTGCTTTATCTAAATTCATACAGGGAACTAACTGTTTTAAATGTGTTCAATTTTTTGAACGTTATTAATAACGATGATTATAATGATAACAAAAATAATGATAATAAGGTTCATGCAGGCGGTGATAAGAATAACGAAGGTAGTGAGTGATATGTGTATATGTAGACAATCAAATGAATAAATAAATTAGGTCAAATCCTAAAAGTTACGAAATACCAAATAAAGGTAAAGCGGACAGATAATCAGAGTTTAAATAATAAATATTATAAAAGTACGAAGGAGATGGAAAATAAGAAAGGGTGGGAGGCTTTTGATTAGAATTCACCTAGGCAAGCAAGCAAGGGAGAGACACAAATGTAGAACAAACTTCTTTTGTCGTATGCCAAGGCACTAGGATTGTTCTCTCGAATTGATTCCCATAGCTTCGGTTGTTTGTAAAAGACGGGTTTGCATTCCGCTCGAAAGGCTCTATGGAATGCGATAGATAACTTTGAAGGTAATACTTCTTCTGTCCACTTGGTGACAGCTGTCATCAATCGAATGAGCCATAATAGAACTTCCTAAAGATCTTACGAAGATGCTCAGTAATGATGCATTTGTTTAGCTACCTAGTTGTCCAACCAATATAGCTCTCTACACAGGAGGAACTAAATTTGTAGATACACGCAGAAGTGGCACAGCTAGGCAGCTAGTATTTCGGTTAAGCAATCATAATTGGTTGGCTGGATAATCAATAATAATATGAGTCACTTTCAAGTTAAATTAATTAAAGAAACACTGAAAGCCACACTGTATACTGGACACTTGTTCCTGGCTTCGTTTTGGAAGCCTTTAGCAGGATACACCCATGACTCTACGACTTCCAGACACTCAGACAAAATCCGACAGCCAATCTGCTGTCGTTACATGACTGGACTTTGTGAACTCACTGGTCATGACATGTCACCAAAAACTCCATACAACTTTATATCATAGTCAGTCCCTAGGCATAAGCTAAAGGTCCTTATTGTAATGCATGTCATAGCTATGCTGGTGTATTACTGAAGAGTCCCAGTGTGAGCCGAAACAGCTACGGATTACTCTCTAGTTTTAAATAGTTTACAAGACCGTAGATTTCTAGTGATGGAAAGCCTCAAAACTATTAGGGAACACGTACCCATAAGCTTAGACTACTGGAAAAGTGTGAATCTTTGGTGAATCCTATTTGTAAAATAATGATATGACAAAATGAAAAACAATTAGAAATTTTTTAAAGAACCATTGCAGGACCAAGAAGTACAGAACACTTATTTCGTTCCTATTTGAGACTCCTCAGTAGCACATACCGACCGCAGTCTGAACCTGGTACCTTCCAATGACAGGGTATTAGGCCACTAAAGGAATCACTCAGCCACCTGAATTTCAACTGCCACTAATTCGCGATGTGTAACGCCAGAGCAAGCCAGTGTCATGCGCGAGGAAGTGTTCACTTATTTGAATTGGTGAACCTCGCTGGTTACGACTTTATCCTAGAACTCCAGGCAACTCCCTACATAGAACCAGTAGTCAGTGAACATCAGATTAGTTTTCAAGCACTGATTTGAAGGGATTTGTTTGATCGCAGATTTAATCATGAGCTGATACTAGTCGCATTATATGTATCGCAAATCAGCAGAAGTTGGGATTCACGAGACATTGAACTGGGTCCCAGTGTTTGTATAGTCTACCAGCTCGCCTTGTAACTGGAAGATCCCAAGTTCGAAACCTAGTGAATGGGGACTTCTGAAGAGTCCCAAACTAGGCTGAGTCAGATGTCCAATACTTCCTGTTGGTTTTCCAATGCTTTTCTGTTATTGTTATTACTTCATTGGGTTTCAAGTGGAACATAGGGCTTCAACAACACATCTCCACTTTGTTCTATTCTCTGCTGTCCCCTTCAGCTGCCTCCACGAATGCCTATAATCTCTCATTTCCTCTTGACACGATCTCCTCCATTGCACCCTCGCAATGACAACGCACTCGTCGTTCCCCATTCGAATTCCGCTCCAGCGATAGCCTGTTTTTGCGCGCGATGTCGTTCGACGGCCTCCTCAACGGCGTATGCCCGATCAATCCATCTCCATTTCCTTCTACACATTTGTCGAGCAATCGACCCTTGCCTGTTGGTTTATTTCCAGACAGAATTTCTTCTTGCTAATTCATTCTACCTGGCCGCCTGGCCATTTGATCTTCAGTATTATGGAGTGAAAGCTGACTAAGTGAGTGAAGCAGAAGATTTCCAAAAACCGACCTCACATTGGTGAAGGCGTCAACTGGCCTTTCCGATTTTGGCTGGCTTTGACATCATCATCATCCATTCCAAATTCCTGTAGTTGAAATCGTGTTTCCCAGATAAGTGAACGGAAGAATTCACCTGTATCAAATCTCTCCAGTTGATAGTGATTGGTGCTGGTTTTTTATTTCTGTCGCTGTTGGTTAGTTAGTTGGTTATCTTCGTCAAACCTGTCTCCACCTTCTCTATGTTCATCTGGAGTCCCGGTCTTCGCTGCCAGCCAGCGTCTTCAGTGAGTTTGCTGGTTTTCGTCCGCAAGTCGTCGAGTTTGTATGACATTAAATAGAAAATCATCCCCACACGTGAAATCCAGATCTTGTAGAGTCTTCTTATCGATTTTCTAACTGACAACTAAGTAGACCGTGATCGAATCTGTAACCAACATTTTACAATTTGATATCTTCTAGCTACGTAAAAGCTGACATACCAGTAAGTCTCTTGATTGATTATTATCATTAATGTGCCAGGTCGATACATTTCAATACTGCAACAAAATATTAGGAACAAACTGGCCTATTTGGTTTTATTCCTTTACGTTCCGACTGGAACATAGCGCGGCTTCAAGCTAGAGCTACGAAGTTATATTAGCAGTGGTGTTTATTTTTACGGGGGGTGGATTGCTAGCCAACCTCATGCCCAACCTTCCCTCTTTACCAATCTTATTACTGGCTTAGCGAGGTAAAAGAGTGTGTCGGTGGCCGAGGGTCAAACCCCGAACAATGCGTGGCGTGGTTGGCGAGCATTCTACCGCTGTGCCACCGACGCACACACACTGTAGAATATAGGAGCCGAAATTGATGTAGTGGATATGCTGATGATGTGTTTGGGCGACAGCACAAGCTTGAGTCAAATATTCTGCATTACAAGTACGAGAAATGACGTTGTATAATAGGGTGAGCAGTGTTGAGGTTAAGCATTGGTCGAGTGCTGGGTAGGAAGGGGAAATCAATCGACGAGGCCGTAAGGCTTTATCAACTGAGGTGGATAGGACATGTGGTACGTATGTCTAGGAATCAAATCCCTCGACAATAGGCAATGTTAGTCGACATAGGGTCAGGCTGTAAAAGAGGGGGTTCGAACCCGGACCACATGCGTGGTTGGTAAGCATTCTACCGCTGTGCCACCAACGCGCGAACTGGCATATTTGTTTACCCAAATGAGAAACTTTACAAGCATATATAATAAGTGTAATAACTTAAGGTACAGTAAAGTACACATTTTAGTGTTAAATCAAGGTACCGAAAAGTACAGCTAGTGAAAATCACTGTTTCAAATTATCTCACATAAAAATTCGAAAGGTCAAATAAAACATTCATTCTGGTATGAGGTCACCTGTTTCATACAAGTAATTAGAGCAATAAATTATAATTAATGAAGGAAAATGAAAGAAAGAACATTGGGTGCGTACTGACGATGATTCCTAAACTACTGGGATGAAACACCCAGCTGTCCAATACTTCCTGGTTGATTTTCAATGGTTCTCTAACTGATATCAGTC